AAGGGAGACTGGGAACTAAGCCCAGAGGGGTGGACCATCCTCCCCACCAAAAACACCTTCTCTCACCCCATCTCACCCTACTTTACCAAGAACCCTCTTGATCAAACCAAAAAAGTAGAAATCACACTGACTCCTCACTTTTCATCGCTTTCTACAGCTCATCGATCGGCAAATTTTAATGTTTCCCTTTCCAAACTGTACTCAGCCCTCACCCACTTCTACCCATCCCCACAATCACTGCTCCCTTCCCGGTCACTGCCGTCTCTCCCCAGGGCCCCCGCGGGAGTTTCCTAAGTGCTCTCCCTCCGGCCCAGTCTCCTATTCACATCCGATTCAGCATTCACGGCCATCTTACATTGTTGTCACAATCTACGTGTCTCTGTTGTGTCTGTTTCCTCCATGGGGATACCAGCTCCCTGAGGGCAAGGACCAAGTCTGTTTTATTCCTCCCGTTACCCCAACTTCTGGCACACTGGAGCTTCTTGGGAAATGCATACAGGGTAAACGAGAGAGGGTGTTGATACATAATTTTAAACGTTAAGTTATATCTGAAATCTGCCAGCTCGCAAAGTGCTCCTGAGATTGACTTCCTAGACTAGTGGGAAAAGACTCCTGAAAAGAACATGAGAACGATATATTGGGGACAGTCTGGAGCAGGGCTTTCAAACACAAAGGCCCCAGGGCTCGAGCAGGGAACAGGAATGGGGAGGCTGTCTTAGGCAAGCCACAGTGATGAAGGCGGGGTCACAACCTGGAGACCCCCCAGCTTCAGCTAGTGCAGCTTTATCAGCTCCAGCTGACTGTTTCTGAGGGGCAACAGGGCCTAGGGGTCAGAGATGCTCCAAGTTTTGAAAAGAAGATGGAAGGTTTATGTATCTATTGGAATTAGGTCTAGCTGTGAGTAATGAGGCAGCTTAGATGAGGTCAAAGTGTATTTCTCTTTCTCAAAAAGACAACTGGAATGTGCAGTCCCGCGCTTGTAAGGGGCCAGTGGAATCAGGGACCCAGGCTTCTTCCAATTTGTTTCTCTACATGGCATGTCTTCCATTCCCAAAGTTACTTCACGACCTAGTGGACGGCTGTGGCTCCAGCCATTACCTCCTCCTTCCAGGGAGCAGGAGGGAAAAAGGGAAAAGAAAGGGCCTGATCATTCTTTTATTAGGAGACTTCTTGGAAGCTTTCAGGCCTCACTCATTTCATTTCATTGGCCAGCACTTAATCATGTAGCTACTCCTAGCTGGAGAGGAAGCTGAGAAGCGTATTCTTTATTCTAAGTGGGCATGCGCCCAGCTAAGGAAGAAAGGGAGAATGGATATTGGAGCTCTAAACTAGGAGTCTCTGCCAGAGCAGGCTTTTTCTGTAAGTTTCTCAAGTTTTAACACCACGACAGCCAAATAAAGAATGTCTGCCACCTGGTGTAGCAGAGCGGACAGTTTTATGAACCCTACTTACTGGAGCAAATTTAGATGGGATTCATTTCTGTGGCATGTGCACAGCCAGAATGCAGCTAGTGCAGGTTATAAACAGGTAAAAGTTAGCAGGACTTAGATAGGAAGCTCAAACAGGAGCCTGTTCAGGGACCCTAGGAGATGGGGATAGGGTGGGAGTACCGTGGGGAGCGGGCAGCAGGAAAAGGCTGAGGACACAGTCCTTCACCTGCACATCCAAGAAGTGCTCGGTGAGCTGGCAGAATGGGGAGGTCCTGGCTGCCGCGACTCCCCTCTCCTTTAGGCCTTCGCGGCAGTTCCGAGGGGGGCAAGTTCAATCTCCTTGGAATCATGTAGAAGTCTTTCTTCTTTCTGACCTTCACCAAAGGTGCCGGCAGAATCATCCCTCTGAGGGAATGAGCTCCACCCAAACCCCCTAAGAGCTCACTAGCCCTGTCTAGTTACTGCCACTACCGTCTTAGACTTGGACTCAGTGTTGTCTCAGGCTCCAGGGCAATTCCCCTCCAAGTGGCTGAGTCTCCCAGCCATGCTTGACCTTCTTGCCAGGAAAGGTACCAGGTACCATGTTATATGATGGAAAAAGCACTGGATTTGCAGTCCCAAGTTCTCTCTCTTGAATTGCTGTTCCATCACTTGCTGGTTGAGCGGACCACAAATATAATACTTTTATGACTATAACTTGGCCCTAATAGTGTTCTCCTTACCTATTTCACAAAGCCTTTTGGAGAACGCATAGGGTCACTTATGTGAAAGGTCTTTACTTAAAAGAGAGAAAAAATCTAAGCAGCTCTAAATACAAAATTAAGGTCCCAGTAAAGATTCTTTGTAACTGTCCATATGTTTGAAATTGAGAACTTTATCGACACAAACTTTGCAAAAGAAAGTGTTACGCTACTAGGATAGTAAGAATTAGTTCCTATACACATGAACATTTACCAGATAAATTTCCGGTAACATTGTTTAGCTTCTGGTCACTGTCTTGGTGAAATCTAGATCTTTTTGCAGAGGGGCAGGTCATAAACGTCCTTTATTCCCTTCTCCCCCAGAAGTGAGAAACTATTTCTGTATACAGGGTCTAGCAGAAATAATGCCTGCTTGAGTGTGGTTGGTAGGGTAATATGGGTGTTACAATTCATAGTTTTAATTTGAACATTTCACCTAAAATGTCATATGGTGTGCTTGGGTGTGATATTGTTATATTACAGAATTATATGCTTATGATTTTGTAATAAAAAAGGACGTTATTTGTGCCAGACCCTGTACTGGGTTGGCCAAAAAGTTCATCTGGTTTTTCTGTAAAATGGCTCTAGTAGTGCTTAGTTGTCTTTAACTTCATTCAAAACAATTTTGTTAGATTGTATTGTGACAGCTGCCACATCAGTGTGCATTTTAAAAAAATTAAAATTGGTGAATTGTTGTCTAGCCATTTTAATGTTGAAGGTAGAAGAAAATACACAACATTTTTGGTATGACATGCTTTATTATTTCAAGAAAAGGTAAAAAATGCAATTGAAACACTAAAAGAGATTTGTGCAGTGTATGCAGAAGGTGCTGTGACTGATCAAACGTGTCAAAAGTCGTTTGCAAAGCTTCATGCTGGAAATTCCTCATAGAATGATGCTCCACAGTCAGGAAGACCAATTGAAGTTGATAGCAATCAAATTGAGACATTAATTGAAAGCAATCAATGTGATATGACATGGGAGACAGCCAACATACTCAAAATATCCAAATCAATAAAGTTATTGGTGAAAATGAAAAACGTGTCTTTTGTTTTACAGAAAAAACCATATGGACTTTTTGGCCAACCCAATAAAACAGAGACTCCCTCTCAAGTTGATAAATTAAAAAAAACACGCAGCAGCTAAATGGTGGAAAACAAGGTTGTAAAGAGAAGCTCGGCTTCGCTTGTGGCTGACAGCAGTGACCGGTGCAGGAAACGCCCTGCACAAAACACAATGCACATGCCCTGGGAGACTGAGCCCTTCAACTTGCAGGAGCAATGCCAACCTTTGACGGCTGGGGGCTCCTGCTGAGTAATGCCGGCGGGGACATAGGAGTCACAGGTTTTACTTTTACTTTATTATACTTATTTAAATGTTCAAAACATAAAGTTTCTGAAAAGCCCTTTCTCAAAGAATCAGAAAATGATAGAGGCTTGGGAACATTGCAGTTTCATGTATGGTGAAAGTCTTGTACAGTGACTAGGAGGCAACCCAGAATTTAAGGCAGAAACCTGCCCTAAATATAAAAGTGAGATTACTCTGCAGGGCAATTCACAGCACAGTGTCTCAGTCAGTATCCTCATTATTAAGTCCACTGTCAGATTCAAGATACACAGTGGTGACTAGTCGGACTCCAAATCTCTCAGCATCTGCATGGTCCCTGACACAGGGTTGGCATTTAATGTTTAACAGATAAACAATCTACTGAATGAAGGAAGACAGGAAGGACAGAAGGAAGGGAGGGAGGAAGTAGAGCGGGAGGAGGGCACACTGCCCACTTGTGTTTGAGAAATAACAGAGTTGGCAGGTAAGGAGACTGAATGTCTGGATTGTAACCTGCTGATGTCAATTCTCTAGGCTATGTTATATAAGCACACACCATCAGGCTGCCTGTTTCTGCTACACATGGAGTTTATTGGTATCAATTGGTACAACTTTAGTCCGTCCTTTCCTAAGCACATGCTACATCACTTTGGAGTAAAATGTATCCACTTTACCATGTTTAAAGAAATGCTAGAAAATTTTATTTCTATTAAAACATATATATATATATTTGTTTTTTTACTGCATTAGCTACCTGGTTCCCAACACAGTGCATGTCAATCTAATGTCAGTGTGAATGCATGTCCACCAGCTACTGACTTTCTAAAGCGATTCCTTTGCAGATACCAAAGTGGCATCGTCCTGGGGCTGTGCACAGAGAGGGTAAGGGAAACCCCGTGTGCAGCCAGCATGTTCTGAATTTACCTCCCTCTTATGAGCAGTGTCCACTCTTGAAGTAACAATTGCAAATGACCTGATCAGAGAGAGAAAACATTCAAGAGCACAAGCAAAAGGAGCTGGAAAGCTATAAAAAATGCAAATCTGGCTAAGCTATCAGGGGCATCCTTGATTGAACGCATTGACTGCAGCGACTGTTGTGTCATGGCTCAGCGGCTGACGCGGACACCAGCATGGGGTGGGGGTGTTGAACGCAGAGGAATGGGTGTGCCTGCATCCTAGAGACCTCCCAAAGGCCAGCCGTGGGTGTTGGTGGGGTTAGCATGAGCTCAGGAAACAAGAATAACAGGGAGTTTTCCTGTTTCTTGATTTCTCATGTATCTGCGTTTGAGGTCGGGTGAGAGCCAGCTTTTACGGGAGCACAGTACGCTTGTGACGGTGGCATTCAAAAAGAAAGAATGGAAAGTAGTGCCTGAGACGGTGTGCACTACTGTGACCAGGAGGGCGCAGAGCTGACGTGGACTCTTTCACTCTTGGCATCCACCCCTGCTACCTTCTCTGCGTCATAAACTGGCCTGTGGCTTTAGCTCAGCACTTCTAAGCCCGATCTAAGTGCAGACGTTGCAAAGAAGAAAACCGAACTGCTCATTTTCAGTTTATTACCATATGTGAGTACTGTGCCAATACATTTATGTGAAAAGCAGGAGGCTGAGGATGTCCCAATAGCTCAGGCAGCTGTTGGCTGCTGGGTGAGACAGTCTCTCAAGGCACTCAGCAACGTTCACAGTCAGCAAGGGGCACCCACTTCTTCAGGGTTCCTTGATGGGGTCCAGTATGTGACGGGCACCAAAGAAGTCCATCTGCCTTTCTAGTTAGACACTCTGCTAGTTGACACAGTTCTTTGTGATTCTTCGACTTCTCTCCACCTGTCGGACGCTGTCTGTCATATTAATGGTGACTTCTTTTGCAGGCATTCGCTTAGCATCTCTTTTAGCCTGTTAAAAAGTTTAACACGGTGAATTGAGTTACTAGGAGGTATTCAAAGGTCCTCACATTTGCATTAGCCTCTTGAGATTGTTAGACACACACAGATGGACACACACACACACAGAGGCAGCAAGAATGACCCACAAGAACACATGCACATGTGTTCCTGTTCATAGGCTTCTCCATTGAATCTCTAATACCAAAAGCCTAGCACTGAGTCTGGCATAAGGCATGCTTGGTGAAACATTGTCGAATGAATGAATAAGCTAAGGTCCATCAAAGCGTAACATGAAAGGTTTCACAGCTGGTTTCAGTAGAGCAGTTAAGGGTTTTTGAACTTTGGAGTCAGACAGGCTTTGGTTTAAACACTGACTATAGAACACTATGGGCACATTTTTTCTAAGGTCTCCAGCCTTTAATTTCCTCATCTGTAAAATGGGGAATAATAATAGTACCTTCCGCATATGGTTATTTAAGGATTAAATAAGGTAATTTATGTAAGGTACTTAGTGCAATCCCTGTCACTAAATAAAAATGAAAAAAAAAGGACTTAGTAAGTATAGTAAGTAAAAAAATAGTAGAGTATCCACTCCCAAGTGAAGATACACCAAGGATAAAATTCCAGAATTCATTTTAAATACTAAAGCATTGACTAAACTGTAAGTTCTTCAATCATATGTGCCCAACCCCCCACCTGCCCCCAAGAAGAAACAGCTTTAACTAGTGAAGGGCAATTCTGTACCTATTCTACTCAATGACCACATGCTTGGTACATGTATGAGATGTGCTCTGTGAGTCGTCCCCATCGTGGATGGACAGAGACATGCCACCGACCCCCATTCCAGGAAGGACCTTCTGCCCAGCCGCTGGAGGTGAGTCAGCAAAGAGCCTCTAGCTGTCCCTTAAGAATGGCTTCAGCTGCAGAGAGCCACCTCCCCAGGGCCTTGTCCTTCCCAGGGCTGCCCAGTGAGGGGGCGATGAATGCAGGGATACAAAAGCCTGGCTATTTGGCCAAAAGCGGCCCGACAGGACATTTATCTTCAAAGCTCCACATGGGGTGTGGTCAGCCAACACCATAGTCAGGCCTGGACTGTGACTCAACTTCCCCTGCTGGCTCCTGCTTCCAGCCCTCCCTCCCACAGGCGGTGACTGGGCACTTTCAGTGAACATCCCGTCTAGTGACATCTCAGAGTCTGCTTCCTGGGGAACACATCCAGTGTCTGATCTGCAGGAGCAGCTCCCAAAGCATGAGTATCTCCCTATGCTGGGTGTGAGTCTACTGATGACAAATGCAAATATTTAATACAATACAGCCCCCGAACGCAAGGCAACTACTTCACCTGTAGTTCATCCAAAGAAATGGCGGGCTCTCACACCACTGGAGAGAAAGAAATTGCTCTGTTGTCTTTATTAACAGATGACATGTAGGCTTCTCTCATGTCACCCAAACCCTGTGTCGTAGCTGTTGGTGACGCCCCTCACAGGTTTCCTTTACTTAGCTGGTGCATCCATCCCCCAGCCGCGGGGAGTGTCCTCTGCTAACTGCTCACAGCAGCACCCTTCTTTTGAGAGCTGTCTTCATCTGACTGAAGGCACTTTGCCAGAGGTGCCCAAGAGGTTACATCCTAATTCCTGGAGACAACCCAAAGCCAATACTTGATTGTAGGGGCCACAAAAGGGTATTCCTTTTGCCTCAAGGATTGTAAATCTATGATGCCACTCATGCTCCGGAGCTCCCCTGGGATCAGGCTGGGGCCCCACTCCAGCTGTTCAGCTGGGTTGACGTGTTTGCTCAGGTTGGTCCTCTGCCCCACCCTGCTTTCCCCACTCCTTATGGGTTTCACCTGAGACTCTCTCAATCACTCACTTGTATGAGAATCCTGATGCAGGCTCTGCTTCTAAGGAACCTGACCCAAGGTAATATTCTATAGGAAATTTGAGGGATGTTTAAGGATAATTTTGAATACAGGCAATTTTAGCCTTATTCATTGACTGCATGAGTTAGGATTTCCTCTTCATGTTCCCACAGTAGCTAGCACAGTCTGAAACATAGTGGGCTCTCAATTTAACTTTGAGTGAATGGACAAATGAATGCATAAGCACACCATGTTTGTCCTCGTACCCTTGCTTCAACAACCTGTAGTCAGCGCTGTCTAAGGCGTCAGTCTGACACTCAGCTCTTTCAAGCCCAAACTGGCACCAGGGCTAGTGGTGATGTTGATGGGTTTATTTTTCCCTAAAAGCAGAGGACTCGTAAAGTCCCACAACCAATCTTGTTTCCTAAAGAAAAGTGTGGCAATTATGAGGCTAATGCCATCTGATTTCAGGTGTTACTGTATACAAGCTTTGAGGACTGGGGACGGACGGCCGACACAGAGGCCTGATTGAAGCGAGCCAAGCTGACAGCAGCATTCATTCCCCTCCAGCGGGGGGGCGGTACGAGAGCTTTCCCGAATGGAAATGTAAATTTTCCGAACTGCCTAAATGCTTTCCTTAGAGTTGTTGGCAAGATTTCACCAAAGAGTATTAAAGATTATACACAGGGAATGTTCTCCTCTACATTTTAGTCTGTTTTTCTAAGCTTAAAAATCTAAGCAAATATTCAGTAGATAGTTGATTCTTAATTTGGCAACTAAGTAAAGAGTCAAAGGCTATAAAATAGGCATTCCCAGAACAGCCACAGAATATGTATGGTATCAACTCAAATACAAGGGGGGCAATTTCTTAAATCTGGGTATCAAAAGAACAGCTTTGGTGCCAGAGAGACCTAGATTTAGCACAAGGCTTTGCCACCTACCTGTTTGCCAGCACAAGACCTGTTGTTTTAACTTCTGAATCTCAGTCCCCTTCTCTGAAATTGGGGAAATAATGCCTGCTTCTTAACTTGTACCAAGAGAATTAAGCATGTCGTGCAGCACTCCAGTGACAAACTCCAGTTTGCCAGAGAATGACCTATTTTGGTGCTGTTGTTGTTGTTAAGCTTTTATTTATTTATTTTTAGAGAGAGGGGAAAGGAGGGAGAGAGGGAGAGAAACATCAATGAGTGGTTGCCTCTGACACGCCCTCAACAAGGGATTTGGCCCACAACCCAGGCATGTGCCCTGAGTGGGAATTGAACCAATGACCTTTTGGTTCACAGGCAAGCACTCAATCCACTGAGCCACACCAGACCAGCCAGGGCAGAATGACCTGTTTTAAAATAAAGTCCTGCATCCTGGGAGCCTCCTCACACAGTTAATTACCTGAATGATAGCCATTAACATTAACCCTACTCACAAAAATGATGGCAGTCCAACATACTAAATTTACATAGAAAACTCGAATTCTTCTGGAACTATAACTATGTCTACTTCTTTTAAACAACATCAATAATAACCCTATAAGATATGCACTTGGATAAAGGACAAACTGGAGTTCTGTCTTTCAATGATGGGCACAGGTTTCATGCCACAAGCAAATCCATTTTCAAATAATTGAACTGTATTTCATTTAGAAAAGTAAACAATTGGAACAACAGTGCATTTTATAAAAGAGAAGCTTTCAGGTCTGAGGCATTAGTGGGAAGGCGCCCACCCCTTTAACGGCAGCTCTGATATTCAGGGGGTCAGGCACTATAATTAGAATTTAGAAAGCTCAGGTTTCAAGCCCAAATGACAGGGAGAAAGAATACGAGAAAGAGAACCATGATGCCATATTATTTTCTATAGAAGTTCCAAGAAGTCGCTTTGCCCTTCTATGAGAAAAGAGCAATACAGACATACAAAGCAATTATGTCATTTTTTTCCTTAGGGTCTATGAATTTTTTAAAAACATTGATGTTTTCCCCTCTGATGTGGTTTTCAACCCACTAAACCTTTTTATTTAACCCACCCTCTTTATTTAATGAGAGGGAAAACAAACAAACGAAAAGTGCCTTATTGCAATTGCTGGTTTAAAAAAAAAAATCTTATGGTTCTGAACTCAATGATGACAGAAGCCTGCGGGGCACCTTTAGCTTTTTTGGCTGTCCGCTAAGTCAAGTCTTCATCCACTTCTAAAATTCTAGTTTGGTGAGTTTTATCACCACTTACTCTTGTTAATGGGCTACCTCTTGTTTCTCACTCAGTTTTACAGCTTTTCAGTTCCCCCCTTGCCTCCTTGTGACTTCTGCAGGTTTGGTGCTCTGTGAATCATTGATTTCAGTCCCCTTAATACTGCCTCTTTAATTAGAAGTAATTTATTGGCTGCCATTTCTCAAGGGTAAGCAGATGGACTGTGATAACTTCCTGGCAGCCTCAACCCCAGATGGACTTGTTCCTCTTGGGGTTGAAAGTCAATGCCCCAGACCATTCGCTGCAAAAGAGGGGACAGCTGGCTGCTCCAGGGACGCCCGGACTCAGGAGCGCTGCTAAATCTGCTCAGCCTTTTCTCACTCTCCCCGCAAATGGAAACAGAGATGTTTCCACAAATATATCTATGTCTAACATGAGGTTGGAGGACCCTTTTCATAGTTCCTTGCAGACAAAAAACAGCTGAGCTTATGATTTATCAGACACTGATTTCCTTGTGTAACTATTATTTTAAATATAAAAGCAATACATAATTATGGTAAAAGAAATCCAGAGGAGAGGAGGACACAGTGGAAAGCAACAGTCGCGCGTGCTGGCCACCCCGTGCCTCGCCCAGAGGTAATGGGTGAATGATTTCTTATGGAGTGTGACTGGGTTTCCTAAAGCACACCCAAGCAGAGGGCTACCTCATTCTCCCTTCCTGCACTCTGTTCATGCTTCCTGGCCTTGAACCGTGGCTTGATTATAGACTTATTTGCTTGCTAACTTGCTTATTTTCTACACCCTCAGAAAATTATAAGCTTTAAGAAAGAAGGGACCCAGTTGGTTGTGTTCACCACAGTATCCCCAGCGTCTAATTTAGTGCCTGTCCCGTAAGAGACACCCAACAGATCATCTGATGGAGAACACATGTGTGAATATAAATCTTAGAGAGAGGGAAAAAATCACTGGAAATAGAA